TTGTAGACAAGTTCCTTATTTCGAACACTGTATTTATATATATATATATATATATATATACGTATATAGGTTGGCCCCAATTTTACGACAGGGTTAGGTTTCCAGTAAAACAAGCGCCGTAAAATGAATCGTAAAACAAGACCAAATTATAACACAATTAAATGCTATCATTCCACCATAATGCCCACACGAAAAACAAAAGAAGTGCATATTGCGTGTTTGGACTCACAGGCATGCTGCGATGTTATTGAGCTTTGCAATTTTTTTGTTATTTACAATTTTTTAGGTAATTTTGAAGTCGTTAATGTGAAAAGTCGTAAAATGGACCATCGTAAAAACAGGACCTACCTGTATACGTATTTGTACGAAATATGCGTAATACGAAAGTGCGATCGATACGAAAGGATATCTTTAATACTAACAGGCGGAAAGGCGACTTTTGCGAGGTTAGAATGTTTAGTAGATTGTCCCACTCACTCTGCTGGGTAAATAAAAAAGTTGACGGAAAAAAGAAAGAAAATAAGAAAATGTCAAAAACGTTAATACACGGATTTTAGATTACCAAGAAAACAATTAAATTGGCTCTATCTAATCTCAAAAGATGTTATACTTACAATGCGAACACATCTCCATCGGCATGAATTTTCATTTCCCTGTAAGACAAAATACATACACTAAATTCACAAAGCCATAACAGTTGAATAAAAGCGTGTTTAACGCTATATAGCACAATGGGGCGTATTCTTCACAGGACATCGACAGCGCAAATATCATATTCCACACACAAGTACATGTTACCATCAATCTAAAATCTTATATCGGAATTATCCCAAATCTGAAATCCAAATACTGAAATTTCTATATTTTTGGTCCATTACTGATAATTTTGTACAAAAAAGGGTCATACAAATTAATTTACAATCAACAAAACTTTGTGAATGTCTCTAGGAATTCTCATTATAGTCGTGTGGTGTATAGGAAATCGCCAGGCTCTGACTATTGAACAGATAGTGGCCCAATGTGTCTTGCGTACACTGCTCGAATGTATACAGAAGGTCGCACTGTACAGCAGATGAATAGAGTGCTATTTTACTTTTTAGCCACATCAGGGTTCTCCCTACGTTGCCGCAAACGGGGCGCGCGCCCCGCTTTGGGGGGAAACTCCCCCTGTTTTGAATCGTTGCGGCCCCGTTGGGAAAACTCCCACCTGTTTGAATCGTTGCGCCCGTTTAAATTCCACCACAATAAAAGTTTGCCAGCGCCCGGAATCGATCGTCAAGAATTGCCGTTCGACCAGGACATCCGACGCGTGTATTTTACCGTACCACGCATGCCACTGAAGACAGTACACAAGTTAAGGCTGACAATGCACAGTTAACCTGTCACTAACTGCTACACCGACTCGGCTATCTTATATATACAAAGCAACCAAATACCGTCTATGGTGTGGTGGCGATTTTACGCATTATTAGTCGTAGGGTAAAAATACACGCCCCCCCGGACCCTTCCCCTCCCCCTCCCCTCCCCCCTGTTTGAATTTCATCCTGGGGAGAACCCTGCACATTATAAAATGTCGCAAACATTTTACCTTTGTCAGTATTTTATGAAGTGGTGAAAGGTACATTTATTCAAAATACAGTGAATTACATACTATGTTGGTTCAGTAAGGAAAGACTTGGCTATAACATGACAA